GCTGCACGCATGCCAGGCGAGCGCGCTACCGCCACATCCCCAGCCCCTGGAAGACTGAATTCTATTTCAGTTTGCCTCTTTCTTTTATGGAACTCTATAAAATCATCAGGTTGAGCTAACTAATCTGTTGGGCCCTTCACAGACCTCCTTCTCCCATACGTGCAGGAATTAAGACCATTAAAAGTTACACACAAGTATTTTAGTTGATGTAATCAATAGCAGAGCCCCACCCAGAGTACCAAAGACTTCAAGATATCAACCCCTGCAATTGTCAGGCAGTCAGTTGCTAAAGCCCCTGGGCTGGTCAGCCATAGCTGCAAGCAGCCTCACCTATGAATCATGTCTCTTCAAGGTATGCAGCATACATTGCTGTACAAATACAATTTTCTTTGTGCACTAACCTGTGAAAAGGTTGGGAAGCCCTGATTCAGAACAATGTGTGAAGGGCTGGGGATGTAAGCTTAGTGGTAGAGCTCATGTCTAGCATGTGTGAGACCCTGGGTTCAATCCTCAGCACAATTAAAAAAAAAAAAAGAGTATGAAAGAAAGCTTTTGCTTTTGGCAAATAGGTGTAGTTCAGATCCTTGTTATAGTGTTGATAATTTTTTGTTCTTTGATTTTTTTAGTATGGCTGCTCGATGTTTCTGGGATGCTGACACTGACAACTACACTTACGATGTTTTCATGAATGTAAGTCTATTTGGAAACCTCTTTTCCTTTCCAGGATCAGTTGGGCATTCCAAATCAAATTAATTACATTCATTAGGATCAGAGAACATTTTAATTTTAGACATTTGTCTTAAACTTCTTTTAGATGAGATGATTTTATTGTTAGGTTTCTACTTTACTAAAACAAAAACTATCATGCTGCTTATAGGCAAGGAGACTTATATGTATACAGCTCAATGACAGCTGCTTGTGCAGTGCTTATGTGAGGCCCTGGATTCAATCCCCAACATGGAAAAGACAGGTGGGGGGAATAGGTAGGTAAAAATTATATTATTTTTAGCTACCTGACTTATACACCCTTGTATTCTGAAACCCAATTATGACCATCCTTATTGAAGTAATAAATGATAACTAAAGATTTTAATTATATATTTGTTTATTTGAACAAGTCCACTTTGCTAAGCTAAAAAGAAATTTGAATGGTGGGAATTCTACAAGCAAAGATGATTTTTCTTTCAGTTATAAAATTGGTTTATCTTAAAACCATTATTTTTTTTTTTTAGTTTTGGGTGGAAACAATACGTTTATTTCATTTATTTATTTTTATTTGGTGCTGAGAATTGAACACAGTGCCTCACACTTGCTAGGCAAGAGCTGTAACACTGAGCCACAACCCCAGCCCTTAAAACTATTTCTTAAAACAGAAAAAATGAGCAATCTTAAAAAAGAGGTTTCTTTAAACATTGGTGAGTTATTGGCATAAGTGTTTTGTGCAGTTTAATTATATGCTGTTATTTTTCACCTGCTTCCAGAAATGATCCAATCCTCTGATGCTCCCAGGATTGGAGCATCAGAGGATTGGATCAGTCAGAGTTAGAGTAGAACAGAAACTGGACTGAATAAATTAGGAGTGAGGAGTTTTATTTCCAACTGTGTCACTTTCCAATTGTATAGCTTTAGGTAAGTCATTGGATTTTTCTGAGACTATATTTAGACTATCAGGAAGTAGATGTTCCTAAAGACTGGCTGTGACTGCCTAAGAATAATTTGGGGAACTAGTTTAAAATATAGATGCCAGGGCCCTGCTCAAGTGGATTCTGATCAAATAAGCCAGACAATGGATCAGTGAATCTGAATTTTTTAAAAAATTCCTTACATGCTTCTGCTGATTACCAGGTTTTTAGAAAAATGTCAGTCCATGAGGGACAGGAAATTAATAGGTCCTTCACCACAGATAGCACTGTTGTAGAATACAGCTTGAAGATATTCAAAAGAATTTTGATTTTGTTTAATACCCAGGTACTTGAGTTTAGATTATTTTTCTCCCATCACTACCAGGCTGCAAGTGAAGTTGGTGGATCAGACATTGCTAAGGCAGGAGGAACTCCTGTAATAAGTACCTAAAAAATGTTTTAATGAGTTGAACTGGGCTTTGGAAAGCATTCTAAGAAGATAAACAAGTGAATTTTTATCAGTTAAGGAGAAACACCCAGAGACCATTTCCTTATCTAGAATTTATGTTAAAGTGCTGATATTCTTATTATCAGGGATAGTATACTATAGTTTCTTGAGTTAGGTAACACATGTGCTCCAAGAACTTAAAAGCATTTCATACATTATTTTACTTTGGGTATAATTATTCATTATGCAAAATAATTAATCATTACCTAAAGTTCATTAGTTCACATTTAATTCTTCATTCAAATCTAATTCTTTCCCATCATATCCTTTTAGTAAGCAATTTTGTAGTTACTCAGAGGCAAGAAACTTTATAGGTATACTTTAGAAACTTGGAAACTTTTTTTGGGGGGGGGAGGGGGTACTGGGGATTGAACCTGGGGGACTTAATCAGTGAGCCACATCCCCAGTCCATTTTTATATTTTATGTAGAGTCAGGGTTCTCACTGAGTTGCTTAGGACCTCACTAAGTTGCTGAGGCTGGCTTTGAACTCATGATCCTCCTCCTCAGCCTCCTGAGCCGCTGGGATTACAGGTGTGTGCCACTGTACCCAGTCCATTTTTTTAATTGAAGGGAAGAATTGAGACTGAAAATGGACAGAGAGATCTGATATGTGTTAATTTCAATTGCCTGTGCTGCCCTTATTTCCTTATTAGCACTATCATTCTGAATTTCTCTGTTTTCTGATTTCTTTTTTAGGACAGTTTATTCTGTGTTGTAGCAGCATTTGGGTGTTTCTACTATTGAATCTTTGAAAAAGCTGGCAAAAGATGACCATGAAGAAATCTGACATTTTTTTTATTCTGTTAAGTATCTTGACAAAATAAAGATAAGCTGTTAGTTTGTCAACTTAATCTGTTGTATTTTAGGCTTTATATTTTTAATGTTTTGATTTTGTATAATGTTCTTATTACATTTGGAAAGCAATGAAAAAAAAAACCCATTTTTGTTTTTCAAAGATAACCCACTGTAAATATTTTATATTTTCTACCAGTGTTTTTTTTTTTTTTAAATTTGCAGGTTTTTTTAAAAAAACAGATATAAAATGTTACACTCTGATTTTTTTAACTTCTCATAATGTAATGAATAGTTTTTATGTCATTTTATTTTCATTATGATTTTCAGAAGCATAATAGCTACATTCATTCCAGTAGGTTATACTACTGTTGTTTTTTGCCATTTTTTGTAGTGACCGACTATTAATTTCTATTTTTTTACTACTATAAAAATACAGAGATTAATTTATTTGTGCACTGAGCTTTCCCTATATTTTTAAATTTTTTTAGATGTTGTGGACTTTTATTTTATTCATTTATTTATATGTGGTGCTAAGAATAGAACCCAGTGCCTGACACTTAGGCAAGTGCTCTACCACTGAGCCACAACCCCAGCCTCTCTATATTTTTAATTGTTGCATTTATCTCTCTCACCCAGTGTTTTTGCTCAAATATTGACATTCTGATTTACACAACCAATTAAACACATGCTTATATCTCCAGGGTTTGTCCAGTGTCAGGGTATAAGAAATGTCAGACTCCCTTAAGGCTCACTGACTAAGCTTCCTATGTTGGTTACTGTCCAAACACCTATTTTTTTCTTTTTGGTATTAGGATTGAACCCAGGGGTGCTTTAACACTGAGCTACATCCCCAGTCATTTTTAGTTTTTGTTTTGAGTCAGGGTCTTGCTAAATTGCTAAGGGGGCCTTGAATTTGCCATCCTCCTGTCTCAGCCCTCCTAAGTCGCTAGGATTATAGGAGTGTACCACTGTCCTTGGCTAAACAATCTTTGTAGTGATGCTCACCTTAGAAGCCCTGGAGTCTTCTCCAGCGCTAGCTGTCCTTATTTGGGGTATTTTAGTTTATCAGCCATTTTCAAGTACCTACTTGAAATTCAAAAGGGATAGGGTCAGTTTTAAATCCCTTTTCTCCATGGAGGCTCGAGTCTAGTCACACTCTTCTCAGCCACTTTAAAGTCAAGCATGTAGACTAAAGAAAAAAAAAAATCAGTAAATACATTAAAAAGTTCCTTTACATATTTCTTCCATAACATTATGAATTCACTTGTCTTGATCTACAGAATCAAAACGAATCTCTCCCATCCCACTCCACAAAGTTTTTTTATTTTTTATTTTTAGTTGTAGGCGGACACAATACCTTTATTTTATTATTTATTTTCATATGGTGCTGAGGCTTGAACCCAGTGCCTCACTCATGCCAGAGGAGCTCTCTACCACTGAGCCACAACCTCAGACCGAAGGTTCGTTTTTTTTTTTGTTTGTTTTTTTTTCACAAAAGGAAAATGCTTCTCTTCACCAAACACCCTGCTGCGTGTTTTCCTATCAGTGCTCTCCTTGCATTCACTCCACTCCAAGAGCTTTCGGCTGATTCCTAAGGCTCATGTTTTAGTGAATCAACCTGGTCAAAAATAATAGGAAGAAAGGAGAGGAGGACTTGTCAGCGGACAAATTCTCCTTTACCAAGGTGGTAAAGGGCGCAGAGTCTGGGCCACCAGTATGTGGTAAAAGGCGCAGCGTCCAGGCTACAGTATGTGGACGCTAGGGTGCCAGCCTGTCTGCCAGTAGGAAGGGAAGGGACAGCAAGGAGCCGTTGAGTAAGGCTTCTTGACCGACTGCAGAGAGTGTTAGTGTTACAGTAGGATGTGCACATCCACATCCTAGTAGGAGGGGGCATCTTCACTACACACACACGCGGCTTCCGGTGGAGGCTGACCCTTACTTAGCCACTCTTATCTCCTGCCTCAGGTGTTTCTGCTCCGTCACTTCACCCCCGAGGGCCTCCGTGAAAGCGGAACTACTGTGTCAGCGGTCAGGGTTTCGGGGAGAAGTCGTGATCGGATTGACAAGAGAAAGAGCAGGAGGCGGGACTTCCGTCCTGCTGTTCCGTCAGCTGCCTTCCACGGGCGTCTCCCCGCAACCTTCTCAACTTCCCTTGTCGGTGACTGCGAGCCTGGAAGAAATCCGACGGAACAGGCACGGGGGAGCGTGAGCTGCTGGTGAGAACCCTCTGTGTGCATATGTTTGCGGCTCTGTTTGAGAGGAGAGACTGAGGGGCTGGGACTGCGAGAGACTGACTGGGGAGTGGGTCAGTGAAAGCGAGGGGTGTGTGAAACGGGCTGTGAGGCTACTGTGACCGAGGGATAGTGACAGCGAGGGGACTATGACTCAGGGTTACTCTTTGCGAGGAGTCTGTGACCTAGGAGCAGTGAATGCGAAGGACTCTGACCTCGAAGAACACCAGGCAGTGACTGCAAGGGGACCGTGACCACCGGGCAGTGACTCTCAAGGAGACTCTGATCTATGGATAGTGACTGACCGAAGGGAACATGAAGCAGCAACTGCGGGGGCACCCTGAACAAGGAGCAGTCACTTTGAGGGATTGACTTGGAGAAGAGGGTGAGACCAGTAATTGGGGATGGTATTGTAGGGTTGTGGCACAGTTGATATAGCGTGTGACCGAAAGACTGTGACCAGACAGAGGTCGTTAGTGGAAAGCACACTCGTCTGGGACTTATCAGACACACCTGAGTTTAATTTTATGACCAAACTTTTTGTGGTTGGGAAACCTATCTCACCACTGTTAGTTTCTTCATCAGTGAATGGGAAGTTTAGATATACATTAATGTCTCCCAAACTGTGAGTTCCATCCAGTTAACGGGCTGTGAATTCATTGGAATAGGGGCTGGGGCTGTAGCTCAGTGGTAGAGCACTTGCCTTGCATGCGTGAGACTCTGGGTTCGAACCCCAGCACCACATAAAAACAAACAACTAAAAATAAAGATGTTGTGTTCATCTACAGCTAAAAAATTTTTTTAAATGGAATAAGAGAAATTTTAAGTATATTTACATAGTAAGGATATCATTTCATGAAATGTGTTTCACTTAAGTGTATATGAGATTATGATGTAAAATGTATTTTCTACATCATAAAGTGTTTGAAGTAAACGGGGCGGGGTGCAGGCCTGTAATCCCAGCAGTTCTGGCCAGAGGATCTTGAGTTCAAAACCAGCCTCGGCAATGGTGAGGTGCTAAGCAATTCAGAGAGATCTTGTCTCTAAATAAAATACAAAATAGGGCTGGGGATGTGAACCCAGTCCCTGGGTTCAATCCCCAATACAAAAAAAAAACAAAACAAAAATGTGTGAAGTAAAGTGTAGTAAAACGTTTGAGAAACGTTGAATCAGGTTATTTCTAAGTTTTCTTCAGAACTAAAATGTAATAATTCTATAATAATTCTATGATTAGGGGCTTGTTTGAAAGTACAGAGATGCAGTTTGGAAAATGGGATCTGTGGTTGGGACACAGGCTTTATTTGATTGAACTGTCTGGAGGTTTCCTGAATGTAATTGAGATGACTAGTTATGACTAAAGGCTGAAATTTGGGATCTTAGTTGGGAACTAGAAGTTTTATTGAAATAAGGACAGTGACATTTATTGAAGCAGTGAATATTTAGGTGTTTGTGGTAAGAGAAACTGCTAGGAATAGACATTGAGGAAAGGGAAGTTTTGAGGGTAGAAGTAAGGCTTGGGAAGGAAACTGAAAATAGGGATGAAAAACATTCTGCTAAGAATAAAATGGAGGTAGGGAGGTATGACCTTCAAATCTTATTCAATCTTGATATTTAGTGATTCTGCAAGTACATAGAGTTGCTAGTAAAAAGAAATTGAGAATGGGATTTGGTGCAGTAACGATGGCAAACAGATGATGAACATCATGGGAAAAAAGGTAGACAAAAGGATGAGTAGTATCAGCAGTGGTGACTAGAGTGCCATATGGGAGGCTCTTTAATGCATTTAGCTATCCAATTTGATGATTTATGTACTGGAGGCTAAGCCTAACATACTGGGAATGGTGTTATACTGTAGGTAATTCAAATGATGTTTCAGTTCCACTGAAACATTTTCTACTCATTATCTTTCAAGAGGGCTGTTTGTGATGTGGATGAAATTAACTGAGTATTGTTAACAACACTTAGGCTTAGGGACTGCATTACTCCCTTTGAGATCCTTTGTGTTGCCTGAATGGAATGATTCTTTTTGACCTATTCTACTTTGTGCTTTCTCTTCGGAAAACCAATATGGTAGGGCTGGGGATGTAACTCAGTGGGAGAGTGCTTGCATAGCACATGTGAGGCACTGGGTTCAATCCTCAGCAGTACCACATAAAAATAAATAAGTAAAATAAAAGCATTCTTTCCATCTACAAAAATAACAAGATATAAAAATAAAAAACCCCCAATATGATAGCTTGATTTATGAGAAAATGGACTTTGTTTTCCCCTCAGCATACAATTTCTCTTTGCTTAAATAGGTGGGGTTTTATTTTTCTTGGGGAGTTCCTCTTTGGATATGTGATCCTTTAAGGAGAATGGTTTATTCCAATAGAGCCTTGGATTCAGAAGTCCCAGGTTACTTTATCTGATGTCAATATTGACTCATTTTGGGAGTATGAAAAGTTTTATTGCAATTTCTCTTGTTTTAGTTTTCCTAAATAATTGAATTATAAATTATATTATCTACAAACCAGATTTGTAGGTAGGTACTTTTTAAAATAAAGTCTTTTTCCTCCTTTCTTTTTGTAATCACAAGTTGAAGTTGAAAGTTGTGTTAATTTGAGACTTTTTGTGTTTGAACTGGGATGACTGCCAATGAGCTAAGGGAACCCATGGATCTACTAGGCTGTTATATCACATGCGCAAGTATTTGCAAACCAGTTTGAAGTGAGGGCTGCTAAAAATAGTGACATTGGTCTTTGCTCTATACTAGAGAACATAATAAGTGTGTGACTCTTAACAGAAAAGAGTTGTTTTTTTTTTTTTTTAATTTGCGGAGTTCCATCAGATGTAACTAATATAGATGTGATTATGTTGCTTACTTTTTGGTCCTAGAACAGGGGTCTTAATCTTTTTTGTCATGACTCCTTTGGCAGTATGGTGAAACCTGTGGAATCTTTTGAAATGGGATCTTGCTGTGTTGCCCAGGCTATTCTTGAACTCATGGTCCTCCTTCCTCTGCCTCCTGAGCAGCTGGAATTACGGTCAAGGGCCACTATACCTGGCTTGGAATGATGTTTTTATATGCAACAAAACAAAATAAAACAAAACAAAAACTCATAGAATTATAAGAAAAGCCAATTGGAATAGGTATCAAAATATTTTTAAGTGTATGATATAGCACTATATGTGTTTTTTATTAATACAGTAAATAATGCTTATTGTCTATCAGTAGGTCTTATAACTACAGTAATTTAAAAATGGTTTTGGGTATAAATACTGTTTAAAGAGAATTTGTAGCAAGTATAAGAAATTGGGCTGGGGTTATAGCTCAATGGTAGAGCACTTGTGAGGCACTGGATTCAATCCTCAGTGCCACATAAAAAACAAATAAAAAGAAAAGGTATTGTGTCCATCTACAACTAAATTTTTTAAAAAATAAATTATCCATGATTTCTATTGGTGGCAGTCTATTTATCTACTAAGTTTATTATTAACATTTGTGGCTTATGCTTATTGTTCATAACTGAAAGAAATGGTGATTTGATCAGAAGTTAGTGAAAATAGATATGTAACTTTTTTGGATCCAAATTCACAGACTTCCTGAATTCTATCATAGACACTGCCTTAGAGACATACATTTCCTAACCTGCTCTAGGAAGAGCACACAGGTTTTACTCACTAAATCTTCTGATAGAATAGTGGCAGGATAAGATTGTTGAACTATTAAGAACTGGTACAAATGTCCCTTGGTATTTCTAGGATAGTCTCTTTCCTAAAATATGTGGCCAGTTCCAAGCATAAATTTTATTTTGTTGTATGGCTAAACCAGGGTCTTGCACAGAATAGTGATCGTTCTATGTTTGTTGAATAAGTGTTTCTCTGGAGAAATTAGAGTGAAGAGATCAAGTTAAAAGCTCAAATCTTAGATGTAGCAATTTATGGGCCTCAGATATTGAACAGTAACATTGAACTTTAGCTTAAAACTAATCTGTTAGTGTAGGTGATGTGAAATTCACCTTTTTTATTTAGGTGAATTTTTTTTTATTTAGAAGTTCTCCAATCAGGCATTCTTTTGATTTATTCTATATAGTGTGATGATATATACAGGCTAGTTACCTAAACTACAGTAGTCCTAAATCAGAAAATTATTTCTTGAAATAATCCCATTATTACCACCATTTCCACTTTAGATTACACAGATCTAGGAAAATTTGTCACCAAATTATTAAAACTCATTCTGTCTTCATCTAGAATGGGAGTTGCAGATTTCTTTGGTAAAGGGCTGGATAGCAAACGTTTTAGATATTGCAGGTCATATAGTCTCGTTGCAGCTACTTAGTTCTGTTGTAGCACAGAAGCAGCCAGGGACAATATATCAGTGAATGAGCCTGCTGTTTTCCAGTAAAATTTCAAAAACCGGCAATGGGCCATCTTTGGCCTGCCAAATATAGTTTGCTAACCCCTGATCCAGGAGTTCTGCTGGTTCTTGAAACCCATTCCTTCCTATTTTGGGTTAGCCATATCCTCCTTCAAGCTTCAAAGGACTTCCTATGGGGGGGTGATACCATTGTACTGTTACCTGCTGAAAGGTCTGAACATACAGCATGACATGATTAATGAATGCCAAGAGTATTAGATGTACCTCTTGGAATTTATAGAACTTGCCTTTTTAAGCGCCACCATGGTAGAAGTAGGTAAATATCCCACATAAGAAATAAGCTTGCTTACTTAGCCTTGGAACTGGGCATTGGTATGCCAGCAGAAAAATGCTGAGTATGGAGTTTTACTGAAGAAAATAAGGTTAAGTCCAGAAATGGGGGAAATAGGAACAGAATGCTAAGTTTGAATCAGATTTTTGAAACATAGGAGCCTATAATTACAACTTGCTATCATTGAGGTAGTTACATAGTTTAGGAAACTGAGTTGACCTTCTGTTTTGCCCTGGGCTGCTTGCCATGTCTAAAAGGAAGTAGAATGAAGGGGATTAGGTTGGAGTCCAT